GTCTCCCTGTAGCTCCAACTGTCCTGGAACTCACTATGTAGGCCAGGCTGGCCTTGAACTCAGAGATCTGCCTGCCTCTGCCTCCCAAGTGCTGGGATTAAAGGTATGCGCCACCACGCCCGGCAGTTATCTTTCTATTCTACAGAAGCCCAAACTGTTTGAGATATTTTTCTCATCCAGGTCCCTGTATTTCAAAAGGCTAATGTTAACAGACTGAGTGGTCTGCACGTGTGTGCGTGTGTGTTTGTAGGTAGGATATAATAATATGTATTTTTTTGTCTGCCCCTGGTCCCTGACACAGAGCTCCTAAAACCCTCTTAAGTCTCCTAAACACCAAGAATGCTGGGTGCATCTTTTGTTCTAATATTTGATCTTTGACCTTGGTTCTTGGTAACAGTACCCAGTCCCTTGAAGTTTCTTAGGTGAGAAGAGTGGGTTTTGTTCAGTTAGTTAACTCTTGGCAGGCTCCTGGATAGTTTTACAACATAGGCTGGTCATTGGGAAGACCAAGCTGTGATGAGAAGCTTGGAACTTTCAGTGTCACCCTCTTCCCATCATCCTTCAGGAAGGGGAAAGGGGCAGGATACTGAGCTAATAATCAATCATATCCTATGTGTTGAAACCTCCAGAAATATCCCTGGGATACTAAGTTGAGAGAGTTTCCAGAATGCTGGAAAATGGACCAAAGTGGGTTCTGTGTCTCTTCACACACACCATGCCCTGTTCATCTGTGTACCTTTACAATCAATAGGCAAATGTGAGGACAGTGTTTCCCAGAGTCCTGCAAGTTGTCACACCTGAGGAAGACACCCCATTGGTGTCTGCTGGAGAGTTGCCTGGGGTGTGTATGGGAAGGGGAATTCTTTGTACATCTGGTGTCAGAAATGAAATCTTGAGATTTCTGAATAAGAGTTTAGCAGGAGAAAACACCTCCTACACACATACCCTGTGCATTACAGCATGCTTCATCTTTTCTTTTTAGATTGTTGGCCACTGGTCAAACATAGAATTAGTGTCCTATTCTCAAATGAGATCCAAATGTTTATGATTGTAGTCCCCATCCTGTCCTTACTATGTGGCAGGCTTGGACATGCTCACAATCCCTGTAGTAGTCTCCCTTTACTCCAAAAACATTTCCTCTCCAGAAAGAAATAACTTCCATGAATTCTCACTGGAGGATGTGATTCAAAGGACGTATCTTCCCCAAGTGCAAATGAGCTAAAGGAATTTCTGTTTGGATTCTTCTCTGACACTGTTTGAGAAAGTCTCTGAAAAGAAGCAACAAGTCTGGATAAGGTTTAAAGTAGACTTTGCTTACATACTCAAAATATTCCCCCTCCCTCTTTTTATTTGTTTCTGTATGTGTGTGAAGGCTAGAGGATAGCCTTGGCTGTCATTGCCAGGAACATTGTCTACCTCCTTTGGGACAGAGCTTTTCATTTGCCTGGAGTTCACCAGTCAGGCCACTCTGGCTGGCATGAGCCACTGCAAACTCCTCCTTTTCCTTAGTCACTCATCCAATGATACCAACTGCCCTGCTGGAGTTTAGTACCAGGAAAATGTACCATTTACAAAAATAGCTGCTGTCGCACTCCAGGGACATGTAGATCATTCTGTTGACATTTTCCCCTCAAAGTGGAATAGCTCCATACACTGAGAGATATTTTGGTTTTCTCCAGCGTGGGTGAGGAGCCCTGGGGGAACTTGCCTGAAAAGCACATCCAAAGGAGAAGGCTGCTGGTCTTGAGTCGGCCTTGTGCCTTCTTCCCTTACTCTGGAAGGCACAGGTTGCTTGGGGGTGGTCCTGTTCACTGTCTTCTTTTAGAGGCTTAGTTTAGCTCATCTTTACTCTCTGAGAACATTCAGTTTCATTGTTCTCTCTCTGCCCAGTCAAGCCAGAAATTATTTGGCAGAACATGTGGCTGTCTTGGATTAATGGTGATGATACTCACGTTCACTTCTGTAACCACTTGCTTCAGCCATTACATCACACAGAAGACTGGAAAAACCTGATAATTTTAACCCAGTTATAGCTCGTTTTCCAAATTTACAGAAGTCTTAATTTTGATCCCTTTCAGCATGGTAGACTGGATATTGGCCAGAGAGCACTTCTACAAAGTAGCAGACTTTGTAGCTAACTCTCACCTGACTGTCTCCAAACCAAGTATTCTATTATAAATATACCATCAATTCACAAGACCCAGTGCTGGCAAATTATATAAACACTGATTGCATCTTGAATTCCAAGCCTTACATTGATAAGACTTTAAGTTTTAGATGGTGATTTGGATTAGATCGTCCTTAAGATTTGTTTCAACATTAAGTCATAAGTATTACGGCTATTGTGTTCTGCCAAAGTAAAAATGAGACCAACTTAATATAATTTAAGGTTAGTTAAAGTGAAACAAGATGAAACTATTTTAATTCATCTGAACTTTTTTTCTCTGAAGATAGGCTTTGGAAATGATAGCAGGTGATTAGATATGCTTTGTTCTTCGTACCCACTTGACTAGCCTTAGTTTTACAGGAAATGCTTTGACATTTCTTTCCTTGGTATCAGATGTTTTTCCCTGTTTTAGTGACATATGATCTTATATTTCATCACTTTTTTTTTTAAAGGTACTGTCCAAGAAGCTGGAACACTATTATCCAGTAAGAATGTTCGTGTCAACTGTTTGGATGAGGTAAAAATGAATAATGTTTTACTTACTAGAAGAATGTATAACTGGGGAGATGGTTCCGTGGGTAAAGTGCTTGCTTATGCAAGCATGAGGATCTCCATTCAGATATCTAGCACAGTGTAAACCCAGTGTAGTGACACACCTCTAATCTCAGCACTGGGATGAGGTGGTGGGGAGGTGGGAGCGACAGAAAACACTCACAGCTCACTGAGCAGCAGCCAGTCTAGGTGAAAGAGCAAGCTATAGGGTCGATGAGAGACTCTGTGTCAAAAATAGGGTGGAAAGCAATAGAATTAGAGACCCAGCATCAACCTCCAACTTCCACACAGGCAAGCACACCTGTACACACACATGTACAGGCACAAAGAAGGGATAATTAAAATCTTCCAATAAAAGTTTATGCCATTTGTGCTCAAGTTACTCAAGTAAATCAAATGTAAACAGACACCACGCCTAAAGCATGTTTAATCTTACCAGTAATCAAAGAAGTGCAAATTAAGCCCAAATCCTAACCTCTCTCGTTCCCCTTCCCTTCCCTTCTACTTTTTCTTATTCTTTTGTTAGATTTTTTTTTTTTTAAAGATAGGGCCTTATTACTATGTAGCCCAGGCTATCCTTGAACTGTTCTTTCCTCTGTCTCAGCCTCCCAAGTGCTGAGACCCACTTCTGTGATTACATATTTTATAAAATGTGGAAACATGATCTTTTATATGTTAATAGTTTATGTATGTTCTCCAAATTCTTTTTGGAGACAGGGCCTCCTGATGTAACCTTGACTGGCCTGGAACTCTATTAGACCAGGCTGGCCTCAAGCTCACAGAGGTCTGCCTGCCTCTGCCTCTGGAGTGCCAGAATCAAAGTTGTGTGCCACACTGTCTGGCTGAGTTTTTTTTTGTTTTGTTTTTTTGGGTTTTTTTTAGTCTTTTTGAGACAGGGTCTCCCTGTAGCCCCAGCTGACCTGGAACTAGCTATACCAGGCTGGCCTTGAACTCACAGAGAGCCTCCTGACCCTGCCTCTCGAGTGCTGGGGTTAAAGGTGTGCACCACCACTCCTGTTATACTCATTTTAAAAGAAATTTTAGCTGACATCAAACAAGTTCCCCGACTGTAGTGTGTTAGATTTGAAAATAAAAAATAATCAAACTAATGAAATACCTATCTTGGAATATGAAGTTTTTACAAATTAAATAATTCTTAGGTTAATAAATAGAAGTAGAGATAGTTAGAACTAGAAATAACAAAATGTACTGTTTATGAAAAGCTGTGCTAGGTTGCCAAAGCAATAATCAAAAGAAATTTCATAGAATTTATTGTATTGTCAGTCTTTCTGGTCTTCACTCATGAAATTATATAAGAAGAGTAAAATATAAAAAAAAACAATTTAGGAAAATGAAACAATAAGAAATGTAAGAGGTCTAGTGTAAGCAACAAAATAAAAAAATAGGTACATATGAATACATTAGAAATCACCAAGTTTAAAAGCTTTCGTGTTTGAAAGCATACAGTCAGGTAAGTGAAAAAGATAACCCATGAAATTGTAGAAAAATTTTACCAATTGTATCTGATGAGAACATGGTAAGAACTTCTGCAACTCAATAATAAAGTCATAAAGCCCAATGAAAAATGAGCAAAGGATCCGGACAAACATAGCCCCCCAAAGATAGATAAATTATTCATAAATATGTGAAATAACCCCCAGTGTCACCACACCTGGGGAAGGCATTTAGAGCCACAGTGAGATGCTGTTCACACTATAACCAAAAGGAGACATTCTAGGGACTGGAGAGGCAGCTCAGCAGTTGAAAAAATCTGCTGCTCTAGAGGATTCAATACCCTCTTCTGTCCTACTCAGGGAATTTAAAAAATAAAATGTTTTTTACAAAGGAGACATTCATGAAATTCTTATCGTCATTATTTTTCTGATTGGAGCAGAAATGAGCATCCAACATTGGTTTTCTTAAGTTATTCTGTATTTATAATAGAAAGATATGTTAAATTTGACTTAGGAAATTTATTTCCTAACATGGGAATATTTTCTAGCAGATTAGCAGTTTTGTTCTGAATTATTCACTTTCGTTTCTTGATTTTTTTTTTTTTTTTTTTTTTTTTTTTTTTTGAGATAGAGGCTTCCTACTTGGCCTATAGCCCTACTGGGCCTGGAACTTGGTATATGGACCAGGTCATCACATCTTACAGAGGTCTGCCTGCCTCTGCCTCCTGAGGGCTGGAATAAAGACTTGTACACATCATACTCGGCCCTTTTCTTGATTTTTAAAAATACTGAAATACTAAAAACTTCCTATAATATTGTAGAGACTAGAAAATTTATAGTGTAGTGGCTTTATATGTTTGTGGAACATGAAAATGTGTCAATATTAATATTGATTCTTGTTTTCTTGGCTCATTGAACTCTTTCCATAAAAGGTAGTATTAGGGGGCTGGGGAGATGGCTCAGTGGTTAAGAGCACTGGCTCCTCTTCCAGAGGACCTGGGTTCAGCCCCAGCACCCACTTGGGTATCCTTGACTCCAGTTCCAGAAAATCTGATGATCGATGCCCTCTTCTGGCCCCCACGGGCACTGCATGTATATGGTGTACTTACTTGCAGGCAAAACATACACATAAAACAAAAATAAATATTAAAAAGGTAGTATTAAAACCAACATAATGCATAGTAATTGTTGCCTTTGGGATTTATAATTTATAAATAATAATATATAATAATTTATATAATTACAAATTTAATTTTACTTTGCAGGGTTCTTCATTGGACTAACAGAAAACTGAACTAATAGATAAGAAGTAGGAATGATAGCTGATTCTTTGAACAGCCAGTCTAGTTTGTTAGCCCAAATTTCCAATAGCCAGGGAATTGATATGGGACAAACACACACTGCATTATGGACATGATGAGACAGCAGGCCCAGATGCTGCACAGCAAGTGATGGACTCCATCCAACTCTACCTTTTTGGAAAAAAGGTCTCTTTCATTTCAGTGCTCTAACATACAGTTCCTGCTAAGGTGGCCATGATGAAATGAGAAGGGACAAGAGAGTAAGGAGAAAAGAAAGGGAGATAAGATTTTAAAATGAGAAGAAAAGGAATATTGACAAAGGGAGGTAGGCAGGTATGTGGTAAAGTGATGCACACAGTGAGAGTAGAAGACGTAAGCACGCTTTGCCACAGGAGGTCTCGGTGCTTTGCACATCCCCTTTGCTACTGGCAGGTTATTGCATTGTATTGAAAGGTTTTATTTTAAGCAGTAAGATAGTTTTGTAGTTTCAGCATTATTCTCAGAGCTACATAAACTCCAGCTGTGTGGTGGGATGCCTGGATGACTGACACCAAACTGTTCTGGACAAACAGAAAATGTTGAAATCTGAGTCAAGTCAGGCTCCTAAAAGAGTTGTGTGTTTTCATTAGCATGCAAAGTATTGGATTTCGTTATGATGTTTTCAAACATAATTGGTTTTTGTTGATCCCCTATCCCAGCTGCTCCCCCAACTTCCTCCACTTTCAGTATCCCAGTATCCTTCTTCCTACTTTCATGTCCCATGTGTTTTATTACCCTATAACCTCCCTCTGTTTTGTCCTCAATGGTCCCCTTCAGCTTCATGACCTGTACGTGTGTATTCTTAAATGCGTATTCTTATACACATAAATATATATATATGTATTTTTGTTGTTGTTTGAGTGTTGGAGATCAAACTCATGATATTATTTGTGCCACTGAGCTCTACCCCTATGTCCTAAAAAGTTGTGTAAGAAGCAGCTGATTGTTTTGTGTGGCCTTTCCTATGGGGCTTTGTCCTGCCCTCCCCCAGGCTGTACGTTGTCTTCCTTATGGATTCCATTAGCCATTAGCTGTCACCCTGTGCTCTCAGTCCACTTTTGCCTCATCAGAGGTTAATGATCAGTCTATTCCTTCTCATTGAAGTGCTGTGTGAAAGTGAGATTCTGATTACACCCACCAACCTACCCATTCACAACATACAAACATCCAGTTAAGGAAGTATGTTCTCCTTATTTTTCTGTTATTAATCCCAAGAAATATCCATTATTCCCATTGAGTCACGTCTTATGCAGTCACCGATAGGGTCCCAGTCTCCCTATAATTCTGTTGTCAGCAACCATCTCTGAGTATTGCCCTATTGTTGTTAACAAGGTGGTGGCTTCAAGGCAGGATAAAGAGACAGGAAAAACTAAGGGATGTGGGACTGCTGAATGCCGGTCAGCATTTTCCACTGTCTGTGGGTCAAGAAACTTCAGTGCAACTGATAAAAACCAAGACTGCCTACAGATATAATTATTTTCCTGAAAACATCTCAAGCAAGGATGTTCAAAACAACAGATGAACTATTCTTACTTAGGGCTAGAATGTTGAGTTTAACCACATTAGCACCCCTCTCATTCCTAAAACTAAATAATACTTCTCATATTACATGATATTATAGCTTGAGACAGGGTCTCCCTGTAGCCCCAGCTGGCCTGGAACTTGCTAGGTAGACCAGGCTGGACTTGATATGACAGAAATCTGCCTGCCTCCACTTCCAGAGTGCTGGGATTAAAGGTGTGCACCACCACACCCAGCTCTTTACTGAATTTTTAGACTTTGTTAATCTTTAAATCTTGTTTTGTTTTTTTGTTTTTTTTTTGGTCTTTTTTGAGACAGGGTCTCCTTGTAGCCCCAGCTGTCCTGGAACTCACTATGTAGACCAGGCTGGCCTTGAACTCACAAAGATCCACCTGCCTCTGCCTCCCTTTTTGAGACAGGGTCTCCCTGTATCCCCAGCTGCCCTGGAACTCACTATGTAGACCAGGCTGGCCTTGAACTCAAAGAGATCCGCCTGCCTCTGCCCTGCCTCTGCCTCCCTGGGATCGTTGGCATGCACCACCACACCTGACGAAAGTCACAGAATTTATATATACATACATGCATGCATACATACATACATACATATGTATGTATAAATATTCATAGCAGAGACACCTAAGTGACTCCTTATTGAGAAGTTGTTGCCCGAATGGTAAACGTGTGCTCTCTTTTCCTTGAGGGTCTCTCTCAGAGTCTGCTTAAATCTAAGAAGCTCACTTTCTTTCTTTACTCCAATTTATCCTGAAGTCCTTTTCTCCATTGCAGTCAAGAATCCAGTTTCACTGAGTGGAAGTCCCTAAGAGGGGACTCCTCAGGCTGCTGATAAGTACTAGGCTCCATCTTCCCACCACCAGTTTATGTCAGTAATAAAGTCTGGAGTCATCCAGTACAATTAAAATCCTGCAGCTTAATGAAAGTAAGAGATTATATGTTTTAGGAAGATTTTCATCCTTAGGAGCTTCAGCATTCTGGCTGTTATAGAATATATCTGGGGTTACTGAGAAAATTCACTTATAGGAAGCAGCTTATTCATTCATCCACCAAATGTTATGATGTGTGATATTTCATTAGATAAACACAAACATATGGAGACCAAACAAGTCAGCCTAGTATAAGTCACTAAAGCAACAAGTCAGCCTACCAACTATCGCTCAATGTTTATAAAATTTTATGCGATCAAATTATAGTGTGATTAAAATACATACATGATTTTGGGGAATCTTGTTTTGGGAAATGATGTCACTGTAATAAATATATCCTGTAACTTCTTTTTCTCATCGATAGTAGTTTATAGAGAATTCCCAATTCAATACATTTTAGATGAATTTATTTTTAATTTTTAAAGTTACATATTTGTGTGCGGGTGTGTGTCTATGTATGTATGCTAGAAATTGAACCTAGGGCCTTGTGTATGTTAGACAAGTGCTCTGCCACTGAGCCCTTTTTTTAACTTTTTATCTTGAGACAGGGTCTCGCTAAGTTTACCCAGGTGATATAGCTTAGGTAGGCCCTGAACTAATAGTCTTCTTGCCTTAGCCTTCTGTTTTTGGTTTTCTTTTGTGTTCATACCTGTTTGTTAAATTGTTAAGGGCTAAATGCATTTGGTATAGATGAGAACCTTAGGAGGTCTGGGTTCTGATCTTTGTTCTACCTGTTTGATAGTCTGTGAGGTTGAACATGTGTTTTCTGAAGCTTTTTGCTAATCTGTTAAAAAAAAAAATCATGTTTTTCCCCCCTCAGAAGTTAAGATTTAAGAAAGGAAGTGAATATAAAAGTTTTTCTTAGATTATAAAAATGAATTTATTGATTCATGTTTGTGTTTATAGATAAGAAAAAAATAATGTACACAATTAATGCTTTTTCCTTTCCTATTAAAGAATGGAATGACTCCTCTAATGCATGCAGCATACAAAGGAAAGCTTGATATGTGCAAATTACTTCTGCGCCACGGAGCTGATGTCAACTGCCATCAACATGAACATGGATATACAGCCCTCATGTTTGCTGCGCTTTCTGGTAAAGTTTTGCCGTTTACTCTATCAATATTAGTTACCTAGACTCAGACAAGTTTAAGTACATGTATATTTTAAGTTCAATGCATTTTTAAATATGGTAATCTGATTCTTTTCTTTTTTTACATTTACTTATTGTGTATGGGATGGTGGAAGTGCACATATCATAGCAAATGTATGGAGGTTACAGGACAACTTGTGGGAGTCAGTTCTCTCCTTCCATCATTTGGGTTCTGGGGATTGAACTCACATCATCAGGCTTGGCAGCAAGTACCCTTACCCACTGTGCCATTTTACCAGCCCAGTGATCTGTTGCTTTAGTGACTTAAAATCAGTTCATTTTCTAGGTTTTCTAGGAGGAACTGCATCTCTCATGTTTCTTTGCGTTTAGGACTTTATGTTTGAAGAAATCTGAACTTTTCTTTGTTCTGATCATGCAGCTCTATGGCAGAGCTAGCTCTTTCTCTCACTGGATCATCCATTTAGAAACTTGCTAAAATTTATGTTGTTTGTTGGCTGGATAAAAACAATCTAGAAATAATCACCTAAAACAGAATAGGGTTTATGTGTGATTGCAGTTCTTTAAGAAAATGCAGATGTAATAGGATCTCTGATTTTTTTTTTTTTTTTTTTTTTTTTTCTTTTTGAAGCAGGGTCTCCCTGTAGCCCCAGCTGTCCTGGAACTCACTATGTAGACCAGGCTGGCCTTGAACTCACAGAGATCCGCCTGCCTCTAGCTCGGATTTTAAAGCAATAATATATATTTTTATAATCCTGGAACACAAAAGCATTTCTAAGCATTGTTTAAAAAAGAGAATCTGAAAGGTACTTCAGGGTCTGGAGCTATGACTCAGTGGTTAAAAGAACTTACTGCTCTTATAGAGAACCGTGTTTCAGTTCCCAGCATCCACGACCATCTGTAACTCTAGTTCCAGGGGATCCAATTTCCTTTGGCCTCCATGGGTACCTGCTTCACATAAACTCACATAGACACATACACATACGCATAAATAAAATGATAAATAATTTTTTGTAAATAAAAGGGACATCAGCCATGTACATAGCCATTTAGGCCATGCTGTCCCTGTACACCTCTGGCCATACCTCTGACATCATGATGGACTACAGTGAGCGGGGTCATCTTCACTGACCATCTGTGAGACCTATGCTTTCCCCCACGCCATCCTGTGTCTGGCCCTGGCTGGCCCAGACCTGACAGACTCATGAAGATCCTAACCAAGTGTAGCTACAGCTTCACCACCATGGCCAGGCAGAAAATAGTGTGCCACATCGCCCTGGACTTCGAGCAAGAGATGATCACTACTGCATTTTCCTCCTCCCTGGAGAAGCACTGTGAGCTGCCCGATGGCCAAGTCATCTGCATTTGGCAATGAGCACCTCTGCTGTTCCAAGGCACTCTTCCAGCCTTCCTTCCTGGGCATGGAATCCTGCAGGATCCACAAAACTACCTTAAATTCCACCATGAAGTGTGACGTAAAAAACTGCAAGGTCCTTCGTCCAACACAGTGCTGTCCAGTGGCACTACCATGTACCCTTGGCATTGCAAATAGGAAGCAGAAAATCACTGCTCTGCTCCAAGCTCATTGCTCCCTCTGAGCGCAACTATGCCGTGTGGCTCTGCAGCTCCACCCTGGCCTCACTGTCCACCTTCCTGCAGATGTGGACCAGCCAGCAGGAGTCCAATGAGTCTGACCCCTTCATCACCCACTGCAAATGCTTCTAGGTGGACTGTTACATACTGAGTGAGCTGTTATACCCTTTCTTGATGAAATAACTTGCTCAGAAAAAAAAGAAAATAGAACGAAAACAAAAAAAGTGAAACATTGGTATGACTATAATTTTTGTTGTTTTTTTAATTTTAAAAAAAGTTTGGTTTTTTGTTTCAACACTTTTGACTCAGGATTTAAAAACTGGAACACTGACTATGCCAGCAGTCAGTTGGAGCAAGCATCTCCAAGTTCTATATAATGTGGTTAGGACTTTGTACTTAAAAAAAAAAAAAATAGCCATTTTGCTGGGTATGGTGGTGCACGCCTTTAATCCTAGTGCTCAGGAGGCAGATGCAGGTTGATCTCTGAGTTCAAGGCCATCCTGGTCTACATAGTGAGTTCTAGGCCAACTGGGGCTACAGGGAGGCCCTGTCTCAAAAAGACTAGTAAATATATAAATAAATAAGTAAATAAGTAGTCATTCCAAGTATCCCTGGTTACAGGAAGACCCTCGTCCTCCCAAAAGCCACATTTAAGGATGTAGCCTTGTCTACATCCTGAGTCCACAAAGGCAAGGTGATAGAATTGCTTTTATGTAAATAATATACTGCAAAAATTAAAAAAAAAAAAAGCATTCTGCCTTAATACCTTTTTAGTTTGTTTTTATTTTTGAATTGTTAGCCATCTTGGCCCTCCTGTTTTTGTCCCTCCAACTTGAGATGTATGAAGACTTTTGGTCTCTCTAGGAGTGGGCTGAGGTGTAAGGCAATCAGGGCTTGGCTGTACACTGACTTGAGACCAGTTTACTAAAATTGCACATCTTATTAAAAAGAAATTCAGCAATGAAGTTAAAACTAGAGCAAAATTTATCACTTTAAACTTACTATATTGGCAAAGGTTAAGAACGAGATAATGGGAGCTAGAGAGATGGGTCAGTGATTAAGAATCCTAGCTATTCTTGCAGAGGACCTGGTTCAGTTTCCAGCAACCACATGGCAGCTAACAACTGTCCTTAACTCCAGCTTCAAAGGATCTGATTCCTTCTTCTGACCTCTGTGGGCATTGCATGAATGTGGTGCACAGACATCCATGCAGGCAAAACACTCATACACATTAAATAAAAATAAATAAAAATTGTAAAAAAATTGATAGTGTCCAGGGCCGCCTTTGCAGTGTTTGGGGACCTTGTTTAGTATACTTGGGCTAGATGGCAGCCTGGCAACTAGCGTTCAAAACACATACACCCTTCATCCACATTTTCCAGGAAATGTTCCTAAGGAACTCATGGTTCAAACTTGCAAAAATGAACTGAAAATGCTGCTCACTAAATGTAGCTAAAAATACCAAAATATATGCAATAACTTGAAAGAATGTGAATAGACTACAGGTGTTCACATAGAAAATGTGCAGAAAGATCCCTCTGGTTATTTCTCCAGGGTTGTAGGTGTGAGACATTGATTACTGGGTACCTAAGGAGGACTTCCATTATTTTTTTCTCTTATCTTTGTATTTGATGATTTTGTTTGTGTTTTCATTTTATACTAAGCATTATCATTAGGAAAACATTATGATCTATTTTTTAAAAATAATATCCCCAGCCTCATTCGCCCTCCCATCTCCCCCGCCCGTCTCTCCTCCTAGCCTGGGACGGGTCCCAATCCTTGTCTTGGCGCCCCAGGCACCAGGGGAACCACCACTGCTTCCAGATCCTCTGCATCCAGACCAACCCAATTCCTTCTGGGGTCCCCATGAGCCCTCTGGGCCTGGCCCCACCCTCACCTCCCTCTGCTTCCCTGGTCTAAACAACCCACCAGCCTCTCTCCCCAGAGCCCTCAGGGCCTGGTCCTGCCCTCACTTCCCTCTGCTTCCCTGGGCTGCACAACTCACCAGCCTCTTTCCTGGAGGTCTAGGCTGACCTTTCCTCTTCCTGATCCTTTGCATCCAGACCAACCCAGTTCCTCAGTGCAGTCCCCAGGACCCCTTGGGGCCTCTTCCCACTCCCATCTCCCTTTGCATCTCTGGATGACATGGCAACCAGCTGCCCTAGACCAGCACCTTTCCTGGGCCCTTCTCCCAGACAAGTCCAACCCCCAAATTCCTGAGGCAAAAATCTTTCCTGGAGGGATCCAGATCTTAGGAGAAATTCTGAGAGCATCTGATCCTCATCTGACTTGGGCCTCTGTGGGAACTCCTGAAGACGAAAGCAATCTGTCCACGCTGATATAAAATCAAAAGAGAGAACCAGAAGCTTAGAGGAACCAGCTTTTCAT